CCGATGCTCTAGAATTGCATGGGTGAACATGACGTCGGAGATTGGTGGAGTAATTGACTTGTGATTGATGTGCATGGTGATGTAGTCGAGTTGGACTCGAGAAATGCAAACATGTGTGTTAGGGTTGAACCCTATGTATTGTCGTGACTAGGGGTCACGGGGTTTGGGTTATGTTTTGCAAACGAACCTTGGGCCATGGGCCGACTACTTGACTTTATATATAAAGTAAGTATATTTTGAAAAGGGGTAACTTGGGGTTACGGCCTAGATTATACTATCACCCTATTTGAGGGTCTTGTGTTTGAAATACTTGTTGTATATCTATTAGATGTCATCCACACCAGTACTTTATAGCCGTATAGAGTAGTGACCCCCTTTCGGGGGGCGTCCCACCACCATTTCAGGTTGAGGCTAGAGCTTGCTACTTGTGCTTGTTGATCGGGCGATCATCTCGGAGGGGAAGACTTGGTTCGTGCTTCCTCCATTCTGATTTTAAACATTTTAAACCATGCTCATGGATATTGTTTTTCATTATGGAGCATGCGTGCTCGTGTTTGCCCCGTGTGGCACTTGATCCAAACTATGATTTCCGTTGCGTATTCAATTACTTATTATGTATGTTTATGGATGACTTATGTGTGAATGATATTCGAGACGCCTTGTATAATATGGATGAGTTGGACTGTTGTTGACTATTCAGCAATCTAGAAGAAAAGAGCCCTTGGATTACCTAGAGCCCCATCTCCACCCAAGAAGGTCTCTAAGAAGAAGAAGGCTCTGAGTTTCAGGGGATGGAGACTGGGTGGATCTCAAAGGATTGATAAATTTCAATTTGAAGAGATGAAACAGAAGATGACTCCTACTCAACAGCAGAATCTCTATCTTGACAGAGATGGTCTTGTGAAATTCAGACATGGTGGTTCCCTGGAAGAAGCGGAATTTTGGTATCACAATAAAATTCTTCCGGGAAAGGACAATCATGAAGGTGTCCTTAGTTATCTGGATTGCAAGCTCTCACCCATCTAGGCCTCATATCAGAGCTCGGCAATCTTATAGGTATTCGAGAAGCAGTCAATGCAAAACTAAACAGTTTGCAAGGATTGGAAGATCAAGCAATGGCTGCAGCAGAAAGGGAAAATTTGTAAAGGAATATCTGTACTCTATCACTTAATAAGATAACATCTCTGCCTTTCACTTTGTAAGGCAATTCACCTCTATCTCCTCTTTTTTTTGCTATGCATGTTTGTCTTTTCAATTCTGTTTATCTTGATTTATTGTGTTTTATCTTGAATGTACCTTATTCTTACTATTTTCCTATGCCAAGTTGCCCACCAAGAGTTTTAAAGAAAGTTTTTTGAACTGTTTTTTTTTTTTGAAAGGCGCTTCTCTACAAATAGTTAGAGGGTTTTGGCATCATCAAAAAGGGGGAAATTGTAAGGAATAATTGTAATTAGATTTTGATGATGTTATACTAATTAGGACTTTAGAGTACCCCCTTTAGGATTTTGTATTAGAAATTTTCCTTGTAATGTTTCGTAGAATAGTCAACTGACAGAAGACCTCCTGACAGAAGATCCTCTGATAGACTTAGTCTGAACAGAAAACCTTTGGTTCTCTGTTGGTTCATATCCAGACAGAAGACCCCCTGGTTCTCTGTTGGACTTCACTTCAACAGAATTTGTCAAGACCCTTTGTTGTCTCGCAACTCGACAGAAGACCTAAGGACTCTCTGGTAGCTTAATCCAACAGAAGTGCTTGAGACCCTCTCTAGTTGACCCTCTGCTGAAGATACCAGAAGGCCTGACACTTAGAGAATTTTCATGAAACTACTTTAGCTGGTGAAACCAACTGAAGATTCCTTCAACGGGTAGGAGACTTGAACGGGAAAGCTACAGTACGCGCATTAAATGCACATTTAATGCACCCCGTACGCTAAAGAGTAAATACAGATGATTGACCGAAATGTCAGGATAACTTTATCCCAAAATAGCAACTCGCCAACTTTACCGGGTCCTACTGGTCAAGTCAACTGTATGCGCATTTAATGCAGTTGTCCTCCTCCTCCAACGGGAAGACAACCTCAGCATAAGAGATACTACTCGAAGAACAACCCAAGTAACTTTGCTAGACTTTTTGCTCGAACAAGATATTCAAACATTCAAACGCACAAGCCTTCTTGAGATTAAAACTTCACCTCCATCAACAAGAAAGGCGGACGTTGGGAAGATAATATTTTTCTATCTTCATATCCCAACAAGAGCAAAGTTCCAACTGTTCTTCAACACTTCAAGCACTTCAATTACATATCTTTTGTAACGAAGCAAGTTGGAAACCCATGTTCTCACAAGAACTCTTCTCTAACGAGAAGGACGTCCAAGTAACTGGAGTAGTGAAGTGGTAGTACTTCAAGGAAGCTCAGTGAAAGGACCAGTCTTAAAGGAAGCAAGGAAGTGCATCCCAGGAGACATCTAGGCTTGAAGAAGACGTGGAGAGCTTCTTAAGTGCTAGGGCTAAGGCTTTGTAATTGGATTTTTTACAAGCTTAGTAGAACAGTGGATTAGAGGAACGAGTTGTTCCTTGAACCACTATAAAAATCTCTGGTGTCATTTACTTACTGCTTTTAATTCTTGCATTTACTTTAAACTGTTTAACTCCAGAGATTTGGTCTCTGTGTTCAGCAGAACCCCTTCTGTGAGTTAACAGAAGGCCTATTGCCTTTGCTTTTCTGTGAGGCTAACCGGACAGAACCCTTACCAGAATACCATCCGCTGTCAGTCTGTTCTTCCAACAGAACAGGCTATTCTGTTAAATCTGGTACTTAGATTGAAAAAGTTAAAAACTAGTACAGTCTATTCACCCCCACCCCCCACCCCCTCTAGACTGTACCCAGTACAACCGGGACCAACATAAATGAAGAGAGAGATGTTATAGCTGATCATTATAGTACATTTTAATTTTGTTGCAAATGCTTATGTGGTTAGTCAAGCTATGAGGGTAATTAGCTAACCGTCGGAGATGCTCTAACATTCAAATGCTTATTTTATTTCCAAGTAAGCATTGTGGCGAATGAAAAATAAGCTGATAAAATTATAGTTTTGATGGAATGAACATTGTTGCACTTATTAAGGTGGTGTTTGGAACTAATTCTGATTCTGCTTCTTTTTTAAAAGCAGAAGCAGAATCAGAATCAGTTTTCAGAAGCTGGTCACCCCCAGCTTCTAAAAAAACTGATTCTAGGAGTAAATTAGAGCACCAGAATCACTTCTGCACTTTCACCCAAACACCCCAACTTTTGCTTCTGCTCCCTGAAGGAGCAGAAGCAATTTTAAGAATCAGATCCAAACATCCCCTAACTCTATATTATTTCAAATTTCGAGATCCAGCTTACTTAAATTCTTTTACCAAACAACATTACTCTCATAATAAGTGGCTAAAATTAAGGTAAGTTTTCCTAAATTGACTAAAACTTATTGAGTTTGAGGAACTATGACTAGCTTTGTTTTTTGACATTTATATGACTAAAAAACAAAACAAAAAAAAAAGAAAATCACGTTATATTAAAATATTGATGGACAAAAATAACCTTTTTTTTAAAGTGCATTTTGCACTAATTTCGTATGATTAAAAATAAGTGAGGCTTCAATATCACATTGGATTATGATTATCAATCACAGATAATTATTAAGTGGGATCTACAATCGATCTTAGTTACGAACCTGAAATTCACAACCAACATCAGCAGGTGAGCGTGCGGCTGATATTGCGGCGGCAGGCGGCTGTGCAGCGGCGCGGCAGTGGCATATGATCGTGCGGCGGTGCGACTGCGGCAGGTGGCCATGTGGCGGCTGGAAGCGGCTGGGAGTGGGACGCTAGAGGCTAGGGTTGGAGAAAAGGAATAAGTTGTTTGGGTTTTATAGGCATGACCTAAAGGGTATATTAGTCCATACAAAAATTTATTCATTTATTGAGAAATTAATTAAATATTATTAATTTGAATATTATTTTGAGAAAAAAACTAGTTTGGTCATAGATTGGGAAAGTGAAAGAGTTTTGGTCATATCTAGGATAATTATCTCTAAATTAAAAAATATCAACCTTTTGAGCTTATGTCACTTACCAAACATAGCCTTAATAAAATGAGGTATAATAGCTCGTGATGGTTAAATATGAGTAACATTACGATACTTAAAAAAGGAGTTCTGACATCAATATTATTAGATGGAAACTCACAGACAAAAACGAAACTCATTTTAAATATTTCTAAATAGAGGCGTTAAATTTTATACTCCTCCCTCAATTACAGTTACCCGATCTGACAGTTACCCGCTCGACCAGTTACACTTACCCGCCTGACCAGTTATAGTTACTCGATTTGGTCAATTACAATTAATCGATCCGACCAGTTAAAGTTATCTGACATGTTCAGTTACAGTAACCCGATCAAACCACTTACAATTACCAAACCAAAGCAGTTACAGTTACCCGACCAACCACTTATGACTTATCGTTACCTGATCACCAGCCACCTTCGTCAACCATCACCGTTGAACACCACCTCCGCTAACCCACCGCCCCATCTAGTGACCGGCCCCCTCTCCAGCCCCTCCTCTCACTTTGTACAACCGCTACCACCTCCCCACACACACACCCGCACACTAGCCCAATTGTCACCACCCCTCTCCCACGCCAACCTTATGTCATAGCCAAGTCACCGTTCCAACCCCTTCCCCCATTGCTCCCCCTGCCACTGCCCAAACCGCTGCCCCCACCCCTCGACATTAACTTTAGAAAATAAGTTTCCACCACCGACATCAGGAGTCATTGCAGATTCCTTCTTTTTTTGTCCAGATTAAAAACTAGTCTTTTATTTATGTCAAAATATAAGTCAATAGCATTATTTTTATCATTCTTTCCTAAAAAAGGTTTCGATTTTGGTTCTTTTTTTTGGGATAGAGGAATGCTCTTTAATAGAGCAACAGAAAAAACGTGAGTACATTAATTGGGTGTCAAGGACATCAAACAAGAAATACTTCCTCTCATATACTACTATACGAGTATAAAAGGTAAAAGGAAGTTAAGGAACAAGTGTGTATAGGACTGTTAAAGTGTTAAACCTCGTCAAACAACCCAAACCGGATCGAATTTATGCATTGCATCTGGTGCAAGCCAACTTTGACATTTAAGAGATGCGCAAAAACAAGAGACCATCAGCTAAAGCCAATTGAACTGAGTTTACAAATGTAGAAATGCTGCCGCAGCATAAAAAAAAAAGCAAAATAACTTAAATGTGTTTTTATAAAGTAGGTAGATGAAGAATGATGACACAAATCTTCTAGCTATATAGGTCGTCATCGTCGTCAGCTCTACCGCCACCGGCTGAAGTAGCAAAGGGGTCAGCGGCGGCAGCCCCTGAGGTGGCAGCATCTGAAAATCTGAATTCTGAGCCAAAACCTCTAGACTGCTGCAGTGTTTGCGCAAACGCCTGGTACTTCCTGATATCTGCATCACTCACACTCCTTCGTGCATACTTCATTGATTCTTCAAAGTGAGCCGCCTTGATCTCTGCCACCTCATCTACAACATCCTCCTCCATAGCCTCTGGGTTCTCACTCCTTTTCCTTTCCCTCTCAATATCCTACAAAACAAGAGTGCAACACTATTCACATTCTCTTGAACTGAAATATTAAATATATGTGGTTCACAATATATGTCTGCTTCCGGGGAATAATGCAATTTACTTTATGTTTCCCTTATAAAGTGCCAATACTGTTTTCCACTTTTTACCTATCCATATTTTTGACTCCTATCTGAAATTCTGAACTTGTTATCAACCATTATAGTAATATTGTGAACTGCAAGGAGCAAATTTAGTACCTAATAAAATATGATCATGGACAATTTTCCAACAATATGGCTTACAAATGCATGTGATGTTCAACCTTTAAACTTTGGGTCCATTTTGGAACTAGGAAATAGAGTGCAAAATATAGAGATGGTCAAGAAGGAGAAGTGGGACAGGGATAAGCGAACTCGATAAATTTATTTTTCATATTTTTTCAACTCATTATTTAATCACTTCCCTTTCATAAAGACAAATGAATCTAGAGGTATTAGGAAAAAATTAAAAAAATAATCGTATTTCATTTTCCAAAGTGAAGGCCAGCAAATGTAAGAAGCTTACTTTCATTTTTCCCCTTTACCTGGCATTTCCATGATTTAAACATACTTTCCATGTGAGGGCAGGTCCTTTCAATGATCTCTCTAATGGTACATTTGCATTGAAAGGAAAATCTATGGAGGTTAGAAGCTTAATACCTTTTCAATGTTCTCTCTAATGGCATATTTGCATGCACGCTGGCAGATTTCTGTGATGTCAGCTCCACTGAAGCCTTGAGTGTATTTGGCAAGAGCTCTTAGGTCAACGTCCTTGGAGACCGGAGACTTCCTCAAGCAGGCCTTAAAGATCTGGTGACGAGAATCTTCATCGGGAAGAGGGATGTAAATCAACTGGTCAAGACGGCCAGGGCGGAGAAGAGCTGGATCTATTATATCAGGCCGGTTTGTGGCACCAATAATGAAAACTGTCTTTTTGGCATTCATTCCATCCATTTCTGTGAGGAGTTGATTCAAAACCCTATCTGCTGCCCCACCTGCATCTCCTACTGAAGAACCTCTCTGCAATGACAAATAAGAGTTAATACAAAACGTAGTAGAAGGATAACTGGATAAGTAATGCTACAGAAAAAATAGAACCCAGAAAATAGAGAAGAGGATTAGAAGGAAACAAATTTTGAGAATAATAGGTTTTTTTATTTATTTTGTGTGCACAGGTACATGATATAGAGCAATTAATGGGCTTAATATTCATGTTCTAAGAAAAAATGGGAAAAGGGTCGGATAGGGCCTCGAACTTACAAAAAAAATGTCAAATAAGGTCTTATATAGGAGGTTCTGTCCGGCCGACGTCATTTGGGGCGGTTCCCGGTGGAATTTTTCAATGAAACTTTTTGAGCATCTTATTCATTAAGTCTAGTTTACTCATAACAATTTTCAGCTAAAACTTCAATCGGGAAGGCATTCAAATAATGGTGTTATCGCATCTTATCATGTAATACTAAATTTACATTCTAATTAATGGCGGTAGGAAAATTAAATTTATGATGAAAATATCAGAATGCCTTTTCAGGCCTACGCCTCGCCTAAACTTGCCTAGGCACGCTTACGCCTTTTAGAACATTGACTACGCGGTATATGTTTTTAAAAGTAAAATAAAATAATAATCATAACTCATTTTCCTTGGCACTTTCCAATGCAATGCCAGTCTAACATAGTACCTTCCTAAGGCTGCATTTGGAACACATAAATAACAAGGAGAAGAACATAGGTAGAAAATCAGCGAGGAAAACTGGAAAGAATTTAATTTGGGGGAGGAGATAAAATATATGCTCAAACACGATAAATTTGTTTTGAATAAATTCCACTTCTGGTCCTACAAGTATTATACCGATTCCACATTTGGTCCATATCTTTGACTTTGTCCACTTTAGAAAATCAGTGAGAACAACTAGAAAGATATAAAATTGGGGGGATAAATATATGCTCAAACACAGTAAACTTATTTTTTGAGAAAATTCCACTTTTGGTCCTACGAGTTTTATTTGATTCACATCTTTGACTTGCCCACTTTTGGTACACAACTATTGTTTCTTGCCCACTTGTGGTCCTTCCGTCTATAATTGAGGTTCCCGGAATTTGGACAGAAGGACCAAAGATGGGCTAGAAACAACAAGGAAAATTACATTTGTACACAGAATTTGAACACTTTTTGGACACACCCCTATTTGCCTGTGTACATGGGTAGTTCGTTTAAAAAAAAATCAATAATTGTCTACAATTGTGTATGCACACAAAGTGTGTACAAAAAATGTACAAATTTTGTGCACAACAAGAATTTCCCAAACAATAATCCTGTACCAATGACAAAGACACGGATCAATGTGGACTGATATATTACTCGTAGGATCAAAAGTGGAATCAATTCTTTATTTTATATACTTGTTTAGACTCATTGTGTTTATTATTTCTTTATATTATTCAGATTATATACAGAACCATAAGTCTATATGTGCATGAAAATTTAATCATATTTCATTTTTATTGAACATTTGGTAATGCCAAACATAAAAAAGTAGCTTTTTTAGCTTCTTCTCCAGCATTTTCTTTGATCCAAGCATAATCTAGCATTTTTCCCCATCCCCTCGCACTTTTCGAGATCCAAACACACCTAGGAGTCCAAGGATCACCTAGCAACTAGGAGGGTAGCTATGGATCTATCAAGACTAGGCGGGAATATTAAAACAATGTTGTTTACAAATCAATCACATGCTCAGAACAATAAAAACGTACCTGTGTAGCGATTGAATCCAATTCATCAAAGAAAAGGACACAAGGAGCAGATTGGCGTGCCTTATCAAAGATTTCTCTAACATTGGCCTCACTCTCGCCAAACCACATAGTAAGCAGTTCTGGACCTTTGATGCTGATGAAATTTGCCTGACATTCATTGGCAATAGCCTTAGCCAACAGAGTTTTCCCGCACCCAGGTGGTCCATAGAACAACACACCCTTTGAGGGAGACATCCCAAACTTCTCAAACTTCTCAGGATGTTCCACAGGGTATTGCACAGTCTATATAACAACACATATGGAGACTAAATTAGTAAACATCTTATGAGTTGTATTAAGCACCGCAATCTTGCTTTAAAAAATAGTGGTAAAGACCCTACCTCTTGGAGTTCGCGCTTGACATTTGTGAGGCCGCCAATATCTTCCCAGGAGACATTAGGAACTTCAACAACCTAGGTTAGCAGAAAGAGTATTCTTAAAATTAATTAACCCACAAGTAAACAGCATCCTTAAATCAATACTATGTCAGCCCAAAAAAAGTGTCCGGTTTGAATAGAAGCTAAGTTTCATTACGGTTAAATACCCTACTTGGTCCTTGACTTTCTTTTGGGCTCAATTTGGTCCTCAACTTTGCAATCTAGACTCAATTGAGTCATCATTCATGTATTTCTTATTAAGAGGGTTATTTGCATAAGCTAGGAGGATAAAATGTATCCAAATTACACACTTCACAAGCAAATTGTAAATGAAACTGGGACTTAGTTCAGTGAAGGGACAAAATTCCCTTCTAATTAAAATTTTTACTTACGTGAACACGTTCTGTTTTCTTTTATAACAGAAGTATGTGAAAAACTCTGAACTTACAGTTTCACGCAACGCAGAAGGATTGCTAGTTCCAAGAGCAGTTTGGAAGTGTTCATTGCTAACAGCCATTGAGTTAAGTATTTCTGCATCAATGGTTTCATCTTCCAAATCAATTACATCCATCTTCTCTCTGATGCACTGAAGAGCAGCTTCCGTGCACAATGCTGCTAAATCAGCACCGACATAGCCGTGTGTATCCTTAGCAATCTTTTCCAAATCAACCTGCAAAGCACATCCAGAAATGTTTAACATAAACAATTAAACATCTAAGTAAAAATTAGGGGCGTTTGTTGCGATTCAGTTGGGCTGCTTCAGGTTTTAAAAATCCAAAACCAAAAACCGAACAAAGCAATTTGTTGGTTTCCGGTTAGTCTTTTTTGGTTGTCATTTTCCAGTTTTGATCGGTTTACTTCGGTTTCCATAGCCTAAAACTTACACCACACATTGAAATGGCAAGGCTAGATTAGTTTTGGTGGTTCTGTCAGTCGATTCCGGTTTGACTGTTTTTTTATTCAGCCCTAGTCAGAAAATCTTTCACGTTTCATGTAAAGAATTCAAATACATGGGAGTTCTTACATCTTCAGCAAGCTTCATGTTCTTTGTATGTATGCGAAAAACCTCAAGACGACCAACTTCATCGGGGACACCAATGTCGATTTCCCGATCAAATCTCCCAAACCGCCTCAGTGCAGGATCGATGCTATTGGGCCGGTTTGTGGCTCCCATGACAATGACATGTGCCCTGGATTTCAGCCCATCCATAAGTGTCAATAGCTGAGAAACAATCCTTCTCTCAACTTCCCCATTCGTCTTCTCCCGTTTGGGGGCAATCGAATCAATCTCATCAATGAAGATAATTGATGGTGCATTCTTCTCTGCTTCCTCAAACGCTTTCCTAAGATTGCTTTCGCTCTCTCCCGCCAATTTTGACATTATTTCCGGTCCATTAATGCAGAAGAAGAACGCACCTGTTTCATTTGCAACTGCCCTAGCTATCAGGGTCTTACCTGACCCAGGAGGCCCAAATAGAAGGATTCCTTTTGGGGGCTTAACTCCGATTGATTTGAAGAGTTGGGGATGCCTTAGTGGAAGCTCAACAAGTTCCCTGATCTGAGCCATCTGTTTGCGGACCCCACCGACGTCATCATAACCGACTTCATCCAGCCTGTTCTCGTCCTCCCTTCTTATAGGTTCTCCCTCACAGAAGATTTCGGTGTCTGGGGCAACAACACAGTACTCGCCGGGATCGGTCTCAATGATTTTGAACTCAACACTTCTCATCCCACCCCTTACAAGAAAGAAGTCACCCTTCCTCACTGGCCGGTACGACTCAAGGAAATACGCTGCATAAGAATACAGTAACAACTCAGCTTACAATTGCAAGAAATCACAAGGAAGATGATACATAATGCCATTCATGCAGACCATATAATCAGTAGAACTATGAAATAAGCAATTAAACCATCAATATCTAGCCAGTTATGTTTCATAAAGTGAACCTTTAATTTTACAATACCAATTTTGCAATTGGTGTAGCTATAACAACTATTATAATATAATCCATATTGTGGAGAAAACCTATGATTATTAAGTTCATAACTTCATATCATTAGTCCTTTAGCAGGCATCAACACGAAGGGCTTCTGGCTTAAAACAGTTATTGGCTTTCACATGAACTTATTGTGTTAGATAATACTTCCTCCATCCCAAAAAAAAGCATTTATGTTTGAGAACTTATTTATATCACAAAAAAGTCTTATTTGAGCAAATGAATCCAGTTTCGTGATATTTTTAATGCACTCTTTATATAAAAATCTGAACTTGTAACAGATTAAGTATGTTAAATTTGTGTTAATTAAAAATATAGCTAGAATGGATGATTTCCAATAGTTGTACCTTACTGGAATTATATTAGGCAATAGGTCAAACAAGACATTTTTTGGCAGTGGGTAGTAATTCTATTTGGCAAGTAACTGGAACTATAACTATAAGTATCATATAGCCATATTGAAGGACATACGTTTCAGGTAAGCATCAAAAAGATTTCCAGTCACTCCTTCAATGGTGTCATCCACAGGAAGAATGTGAACACGTTTGCCATACTTGACATCAGGGCATTGGTGCACCGAGACAACATCTCCAAGCCTGACTCTGAGGTTGTTTCTAACAACCTTGTTCATCCTAATCTTAGGTTCTTCACATGTGTCATCCGCAAGTGCAATGCAGATTGTGTCCTTTCTTTTCTTACCCTGTAATGCATTGTTAAAATAAACAAGAGAATTATATTTCATTACAATGTTGAACTCCATTATTACTTCTTAATAAATCACTAAAATGCATAGAGAGAGAGCCTTTACCATTGCCCAAGCATAGTCTAATATTTTTCAACACTTAGAAAAACATGAACTCATAAACAAATCTACAAGCAATGACATGTAGGCATTTAGCTAAGGTGTTACATTAAACCCAAACACTAAGCAAAATTTCTACTCAAGACCATTTGACACTGAATTCCATTAAAAGAATAATAATGCTTTCCCATAAATGAAATCATCCGGATCATAACTGATTTATCAAACCATATAGGCTAAAATAGATATAAAAGTGATTCAATATTATAGAAATAAATAAAATCCTAATTCTGATATACTACGTATTAGAAAACACTACAATTTCACATGAATAATCAAATCCCAAAACCTTTCCCGATTAATAACAAACTATCTACGGAACCTAACTTTGAACCAAGATTGAATCCCTATATCATGCACAACTACATCAAGTTCAATCATGAAAACTCGAAGTTCCAATACCTCAAACAGATTCAGTTAGAAAAAACAGACCTTGATCATGATAGTATCACCGCGAAACAGTTGGAGCTTCTCCATAGTGTTAGGGTGAAGAGCCACAACGGAGTTGTCGTCATTGATTGCTTCATCAACAACCAACCGATTAGGCGACTTCTTCCTCTCGAGAATGGCCGTACTAAAATCTCTCTTCGTCCCCTTCCTGCACACCAAAAATTACCGATTGATTGATCTATACACATTCATAATGTATGAATACATTAAGATCTGTAAAGCAGCATCACTTACGATTCCGATGATTCAGCTTGGTTACTCATGATGATGATGATGTATTCTTGGTTAGTTCGCAGAGATTCTTTTCGCTCTGAAAGAGGTTTCCTTCGATTTAGGGGATAATTAGGAGGTCTGCAGTCATAATTGAATTTATAAGAGTTTTGCAACTAGCTTTCTTGTTAGGAAAGAAATAACTATCCTTTTATTTGCAGGAAAAAAATTAACTAGCGAAATTGGGTATTTGTCATTAGATAAAAAGACACAAATACACCCCATTCCTTAGCCGGGGACTTTTTTTTAGAACAACACTATCTAAGCTTTAATTCCAAAAAAATTGGAATTGGTTATGAATAGGTTTATGATATCGATATCAAACAGTGAAAATGGACAAGAAAAGGAAAAAAAAGTAAGATTAAACGAATTAAATAAAGATAAATAAATATAAGATAACAATAATACAAGAAGACGCATGGATGTGCGACCTACATGGATGTGCGACCTACACTTTGCTCTCTCCAAAATCATACTATCATCCAACCCAAGAAGACGCATATCAGTTATGATTCCTCTAATCTTATCCCAAGAAGACCCAAACCACCGTAAACGAGACTCCTGCATCTTATCTTCTATAAGTGTTATTCACACCTTTTTTATGATTATCTCATTCCCAGAGCGGTCTTTTCTGGTATGTCCACACATCGAACGCAATATACGCATCCCTGTCACACTCTTATTTTGAATGTGGCATTGCTTTACTGTCCAACACTTTACGTCATACATTAATGCAGGTCTAATTGTTGCTCGATAAAATTTACCTTTCAGTCTAGTCGTATAATAATAATAATAATAATAATAATAATAATAATAATAATAATAATAATAATAATAATAATAATAATAATAATAATAATAATAATAATAATAATAATAATAATAATAATAATAATAATAATAATAATAATAATAATAATAATAATAATAATAATAATAATAATAATAATAATAATAATAATAATAATAATAATAATAATAATAATAATAATAATAATAATAATAATAATAATAATAATAATAATAATCATGATGATGATGATGATGATGATGATGATGATGATGATGATGATGATGATGATGATGATGATGATGATGATGATGATAATGATAATGATAATGATAATGATAGTGATAGTGATAGTGATAGTGATAGTGATAGTGATAGTAATAGTAATAGTAATAGTAATAGTAATAGTAATAGTAATAGTAATAGTAATAGTAATAGTAATAGTAATAGTAATAGTAATAGTAATAGTAATAGTAATAGTAATAGTAATGATGATGATGATGATGATGATGATGATCGTGATGATGATGATGATGATGACAGTGACAGTGATAGTGACAGTGACAGTGACAGTGAAAGTGACAGTGACAATGACAATGACAATGACAATGGCAATGACAATGACAATGACAATGACAATGACAATGACAATGACAATGACAATGACAATGACAATCATAATCAGAATCATAATCATAATCATAATCATAATCATAATCATAATCATAATCATAATCATAATCATAATCATAATCATAATCACAATCATAATCATAATCATAATCATAATCATAATCACAATCACAATCACAATCACAATCACAATCATAATCATAATCATAATCATAATCATAATCATAATCATAATCATAATCATAATCATAATCATAATTATAACAGCAGCACCAACAACAACAACAACAACAACACCAACACCAACACCAACACCACCAACAACAACAACAACGACAACAACACCACCACCACCACCACCAACAACAACAACAACAACAACAACAACAACAGCAACAACAGCAACAACAACAACAACAACAACAACAACAACAGCAACAGCAACAGCAACAGCAGCAACAGCAGCAACATCAGCAACAACAACAACACCAACAACACCAACAACAGCAACAACAGCAACAGCAGCAACAGCAGCAACAGCAACAGCAGCAACAGCAGCAGCTGCAGCAACAACAACAGCAACATCAGCAGCAACAACAACAACAACATCAGCATCAACAGCAACACCAGCAAGAGCAACAACAACAATAACAACAGCAGCAGCAAGAGCAGCAGCAACAGCAACAGCAACACCAACAAGAGCACCAGCAACAGCAACAGCAACACCACCACCACCAGCAGCAGCAACAACAACAACAACAACAACAACAACAACAACAACAACAACAACAACAACAACACCAACACCACCACCACCACCAACAACAACAACAACAACTTTTGCGTGAAGCATGAGATTACCTAAAGTAATCAAGGATATGTTCTATGGAATGATTAAAGATAATCAAAAATTTGTTTATGTCATGATTATATATGAAACATAGTTGACAAGCATGTTATATATGATTGATGATTTAAAATGTGGTAAATTATTATGTATGATGTTTCAGGGATCCAAAAAGGTATTTTGGGATCAAGGACGTCAAGAAGTACACGCGTATAAAATTTCACGTTAATCGGACTTCATTTAGGCGGGCAAACGGGCATTGACCGCCAAGTCAAAGGCTACACCCGACTAGGTATGGGTAAGTACCCGACCGGGTAATAGTTAAAAACAGCCCCATGGGCTACTGCCTCACTATACCCGACCGGGTATGGTTGGATACCCGACCGGGTATTGGGTTATGTTCAAAACGTGCAGTTTTTGAGTAGGTTAACGTGGGCCGTTTTGGTGGGACCCACCCACGTTGGTTACTAAGGATTACTATATGACTATAGGACTAGGTATTGTCCATAGTTGAAGGAATAAAAGGCTAGCCATATCCAGGTTAGGATTTGGTAGAGATTAGATTGGGGATTGAGTACCCTTGGACGGTAAATGTTCCAGAATACTCAGGTGGGGTCGAGTACCCTTGGGCGGTAAATGATCCAGAATACTCAAGGTGGGGCCGAGTACACTTGGACGGTAAATGATCCAGAATACTCCAGGTGGGATCGAGTACCCTTGGGCGGTAAATGATCCAGAATACTCCAGATAGGGTTGAGTGCCCTTGGACGGTAAATGATCCTAAATACTCCAGGTTGGGTTGAGTGCCTTGGACAGTAAATGATCCTAAAACACTCGGTAGTATGAATCGAAGGCAGATTGTAGCTTGTGAGCTAGGTGTCCGGGAAAGGAGTGAGATAAGTCAGGTAAGAACTTTATCTCTAAAAGACTCTTTAAGGTAAATGACCTACGAGTTAAGTATTTTACACGTATATATACAGTATGTATCATCGGGTGGATGAGTTACAGCTATATATATGTATCACCCTATTTTTGGGTCTCGTGTCTGAAACATTAGTTATTCTTCATATAGTCTGCTTGTCACTAGTACTTCTATGGAGTACTGACCCTTGATAACCGCTTTCGCGGAGTTGTAGTAAAATGGAGTCTAACCTTTCGGTTTTCCCCGAGTATCGTGTCTCTTGAGGAATGGCGGAGGAGTTTCTTGATTTTAAGTCCAGTCACAGGTTATCGCAAATTATTGGAAGCTTTCCAAATTAAAACTTTTGATTGATTTTCTAAACTAGTTTTTGAAAAATAAAGTAAATTAAATTATGCAAATACTAATGATGGCTCAAAAATAAACTAAATGAAAAATATTAAACTCTAAATGGATTGATCAAAGAAGGGCAATGAATTGAATAATTAGAAATGGATATATTCTCGGGCCTAGTAATTAGGGGAATTAAAACAAAAAATTGGACTAATAATTTCTTTTCTCATAGACGAGAATAGAAATTACTTTCATTAATTTATCCTAATTCTAGGTTTCATCAATGTATTCAAAAATGGTTGGCTTGAATTAAGTTCTAATCTCATAGACAAGACAGAAATAATTCTCCAATATTTTGTTCAATAAAAATAGCCAAATTCATTAACTAATTAAACTCATTAATTAAGCAATTTGAATTGAATTCTCATAGACAAGATGTAAATCCATTTCATTAAAATTTCCTATTTCTAGGCCTTATTAACGTGCTTAAATATGGTTGGCTCAAATTATTTTCTAATCCCATAGGCAAGTTAGAAATAATTTTCCAAAATTTAATTAATGAAAATGGCTAACAATTATTAATTACTATTTCATCAATTTTGAATAACTAGTCCAATTAATTAATTTTAACCCCTAATTTTCGGCTAACAAGTCAATCCATATTCCTTTAATTCAATTCGTGCCCAAGAGTAAATTAACTACAACAACTCATTACTAATTTTAACATGTTACATATAAAATAAGACATGATCATAAATAATAACAACACAAGAAAATATTAAAGTGAATACTCCCAACGTCTAAGCATTCGTTTCTTTCATAAATAAACATTATTTATACTAGGTATTGAGGTTGTCTAAGTAGGAGATTAATATAACAACAAGATCTAATTTTCTTGAATTAAAATGGAAAATACGAAACTATTAAAATTAATTCAGAGAATTTTTCACAAATATTTGGGAAATAAAAACAATATATTCAGAATCTACACGACGAGAGGATGAATTTTCATATAAAGAACTTACAAATTGGAGCTAAAATGAAAAAGATATGAAAGATTGAAGTTGAAGGTGCAACAATGGTGGAAATCCGAGCTTTGAAGAGGAAGAAGAAGACCTTTTTGAACTAGTTTCGGGCTAACAATGGTGTGTTTGAGTTCAGCAAAAATCGGGCTATTTATAGGACAAAAAATCTCGTAGGCGGCCAACCAGGCGGCCGCTTTTGGCCTTGTCCCGGCCACCTTCCGTTCCATCACCGGCAGTCGAACGTGCGCCGGTCTTGTCATCCGCCGCAGGCGGTCCAGCAGGCGGCCGCCTGCCATTCCTGTTTGGCCGCCTGCCGTCAAATCCCACCGGCCGGTGGTTGGTTTGTCGCTTTGTGCCGCAGGCGGCCGCCTTCCGTCCAGTGTTGGCAGCCTTCGGTCCGGTCTGGTCCGGTCAAAAATTCCAAAAATGTTGACTTTCCAAAAATAGCGTAGGCGGCCTGGAAGGCGGCCAATCTGGGCGCCTATTTGGGCGCCTGTGAGATTTTTTTTCTGTCTTGTTCTGTATTTTGTGCTATTCAACTTTCCCTTCTGGACCACTTTGAATTTCAGCTTCCTTCTTTCAGTATGATATCATTTTTTCACTCAAACTGACT